ACGTGGCACAGTGAATAAAGGCGTTGGTTAGATCCAGGACACATGGCACAGTGGATAAAAGCGTTGGTTAAATCCAGGACACATGGCACAGTGGATAAAGGCGTTGGTTAGATCCAGGACACATGGCACAGTGGATAAAGGCGTTGGTTAGATCCAGGACACATGGCACAGTGGATAAAGGCGTTGGTTAAATCCAGTGACAGGATCCAAAGAGGTGTGAGTTCAATACCTGGTTAAGGCAGTGGAGAACTTGGAGAGGGGAATTAACAGGAAATAATTGATAAGTGACATCCATTAGACATGGCACGTTGAACTAGAACGAACTCAGCGAGCGAAATAAAGAGTTAATTTCGACATTCCAAACATCTGAAGAAGGCCGGAGGAGCGTAAACGGCCGAACGTTGGGATAAATATGGCAACAAAGATGTGAACAATAGTCCGAATAATGTAAATATTGCGGACCCTAGTTGCTATATTCTTAATACTTGATAGAATACAAAAACATCACAGTGAAAAATCGCTCAATAATTATCTATAACTATTTATATTGGGACTCATTCATTCAATTACAAGTAATCCATAATAATATTTGACATGTTGAAATCATATTTATTTTTGGCATATGAATTTTTTGGCGTATGAATGTTTTTAAATCTTTGATTGTCTTTCAATTATACCGCCTCACCTGCTATCCTCCTTCGAGGCAACTATGAGGCCTTCCGCACCGTATGGAATCTACTTTCATGGCGTATCAGTTAATTTCAACAGGTTTCAGCTTCTTCAAGCTATATTCAAGTTTTGTATCATTAAGAAATTGTTTAAATATGTAATATAAAGTTTACTGTTTCCAGACTAAAATCGACAGCGAAGGTAAAACTAATTTTCTGATTAATCATGCGACCTCCCGACCAGGACAGATATTTAAAATGACGTTTACTATTATCAAATTATCGACTCCGAACAGAAATGAATAACAGGCTCCGGACAAATAATTTTTCCTTTTTTTTTTTTTATCCCGTTTTTTTCAAATTCCATAATTACATTCACAAAATAAACAGAACTCTAAACCTTTGAACATTGCCAGCAATTTATTTTGTTTAGTAAAGAAAATGAATTCCTAGCGTTTTCAATTCAGTCTAATCAACGTATCTTTGAAATTTCTAACTAGAGTTATTCAGCAAACAGCCATTACCCCTCGATATAAATATCTTCATTATTTATGGATGGAAGAATAATAGCGGCTTGTAAGAATGGCATCAAAGACAGATACTATGAATATGAGCCATCAACTCTCACTGAAAACGATGAATCTACTATTGTCTGAGACATGGCAATCCAAATTGATAAATAAAATAAGGCCAGAAGATCTGACATAGTAGGGAAGGACAAAATGGAAAGACATTGTCTGATCAGTGACATGTCTATCCTCGCTGGGAAAAAAAACTCAGGAGTTGAAAGGATGAGATACATACAGACTGACAATACCAGAGTTATTAGGTGTCTCCATCTAATCAAGAAAAGAATATGAAAATACACCAACAAAATCACTGGCAACATCAATATATAAGAGACACAGTTCACATATTAAGGAGACCTCTATCCATCAGATAAAACCATTACACTCACATGGTGGTCGTAAATCCAAGTAGTGGACTTGGCTCCATGAGACATTAAAAAACACCTGAATAATAATAATAATAATAATAATAATAATAATACAGTGTAACCCGGATATAAGAGAGTTGTCGGGACCGGAGAAGTCTCTTATATCCGGGTTTGGTCTATTTTGTTTAGGTAAGTAAACAGTGTAACCCGGATATGAGAGACCCGGATATAAGAGAAACCCGGATATAAGAGAAACCCGGATATAAGAGAGATTTTCTCTTGTCCCAAATTAGAGCCTGTGTTAATGTATATAAAAAAGACCAAACCCGGATATAAGAGAAACCCGGATATAAGAGATTTCTTCTCCGGTCCTGACAACTCTCTTATATCCGGATTACATTGTAATAATAATAATAATAATAATAATAATAATAATTCGTCAAATTTCTCTTAATAATAATGTTAAAATGATTCAACAGACGATGTTATTTTATTTGTGGTAACTGGACTTTTAACGACTGCCTTTGTCGCTTTTCGGTGTTCGACACTGCGTTTTAAAAAAGTGCTTTATCACAGTCGCCATTACTACTCGACGGCCTTTTCGTGGTTCGGTCAGTCAGTCGACTGGCTGATCGGTTAAAACTCTCTGCCTTCGGGCGGGAGGAACCCGAAAGAGGCTACGCCGAAGGGCGGATTCTCTTTCGGGGGTGGTAAACCGACCCTGAACCCGTTTATACAGGTTCAATGGGCATATTTTTGGCCGAGCCCACGGGCTCGGAAATCCCACGTTAAAAAGGCCTTGTGCCACATGACGCCCTCGTGGGGGAGGGGGGTGACTGAATATCTTATTGGCCTTTTCGCTAGTGTAGTATCTGCCATCATTTCATCACTTCATGCAGACACAGCGCAAATAAAAATATTATTGAGAGGTGCCCAGTCTCGGGAAACAGCTGCTCGCAGAAGTACCACTCTCATTGCACTAAAGAGGGTAACTTTAGTAATACCGATGTCAGCGCAACCAACGCTGAACAATTTTGGGTTCTGACCCAGTGAATGCTCAGGTCTCTCCACATTAAACTGGCCTCATGTCACATCATGCCAGTGTGAGGCGGTAATAAAATACAATTGCATCCTTTTGGCCTGAAATGCAATAACCAGCTAAGACTAGTTCTGTGCCCTAACCCGCATAAGCGGGGGCTGGGTAAATTTTGACCTTTGCCTCGAGCTGAAACGCTCAGGTTCCCCACGTTAAATAACTGACCTTGTGTCGCATCCTAAACACAGTGGGGGGTAAGCGGTAAATACTACCGCTTCTCGGCCATTTGACTGAAATCAAAGTGTAGTATCTGTTCTTATCAGCTTAATCTAATTCTCTCTCTTCAGTTTCTTTCATTTTCTCACCGAAAACAAAGTAGTGTCTTTATCCCTCTTTCCGCCCATCAAAACCGAATAGTCCGTTATTTATGAAGGGCGTAACGGTCGTGCGAACTGTTTATAAATCGGCAGTCAAAAGTAAAATTATAGCCAACTATAAAGACCGATGTGGATGAAATTAGCCTAGACTCGAACTTCGTATATAAAACGAAGGCGATGTTTTAGACATACTTTCTGGAAAAAAACTGCATCTTAAATGCCATTGATTTTGATTAGTTGATTTAGCTTTTTTACGGCTTATCAACCTTTTGCAGGTCATTTAGATTAAATGCACTTAATCCAACGATGCTTACGCACTGCAGTCCCATCTCAGAAGAAGGTGGGGTCCTGGTCTTCCTAAAACTAATCCACAGTACGTATGATCTCATCATTGTTGCAAATAGCAACCACGCAGGTAGGATTTGGGTTTAGGAAAAAGAAAGAAGTCAGATTGAGCTAAGTCTGGTAAGTAAGGGGGATGAGGCAACAATTCAAACCCACTACTTGCAACCTGAGCAGTGTGAACGGGCGCGTTATCCTGGAGCAAGAGCACACCTGCCCTCAGCTTCCCTCTGAGTATCAATTTGATTGATTCCTTCAGTTGTCTTAATTCTGACGCATAGTATTTTTTTCCCTTTTCGCTGCCTGCTTGAAATTCTTCGGCGGTGGAGAACTAGGGTGTTCCCACTGCTTTGAATCTTTAATTCAGGTTCGAAGTGGTGAACCAGGGTTTCATTTCGAGTTACAAATCTGCGGTGGAAATTATCAGGGTCAACTTAGAAGCGAGTCAGAAGTGTTCTGGAAATGTCAACCATTTTCAGCTTCTGCTCTGGTGTCAAACATTCTTGGGACCCATCTTGCAGACGGCTTGCTTATTCCCGAGATCTCAATTAAAACAATATGGACTGAACCAGAACGAATGTCTATGGACTTAGGTATTTGCCGGACAGTAAGACATCTGTCATCCAAAACCACACGTTGAATGACGTCAAATTCAATATCAGTGGTTGAGTCTTTTGGATGAACTGATCGAGGGTCAGCTGTACTGTCTCGGGTCCGCTTGAATTCTGTGGCCCACTTCTCCACAGTTGCATAGGAAAGTGTGTATTCCCCAGCAAGTGTGTATACCATGTCCTCATGGATTTCCTTGGGTGTCATACGTTTCTTTTGCAGATATGTTAAGACTAGTCGTGCCTCTGTTTTGTTCATTTTCAGATTTGTCGATCGCCCCTCACCTTTGCGTGGGCTTTACCTGCGCGGAAATTAAGACAGAAATCTGAATTATTTTTTCTAATTTTATAAGAAGAGGTAGTGTGTTGCCACAACACAAATGTTCAGCTATGGCTCTTCTTTCTGGGTAGGGTGTATAACTTTTTGAACGGCTCTCGAATAGTAATAGCAGAGAGCTGATATGTCTAATGTCAACAGTGACAAGAGCGATAAGTAATTTTCAAACTCTCAGTTGAAAAAAAATGGCAATGTTTGTTTTAATCATGTCCCCTCTCACAAAAAGAAAAAAAAATTAATTCCATCGAACTTTATAGTGTACATCTGAGCGTACCTCTGATCCGACCCGTGCTAATGCAACGGTGAAGTGGCCTTATAACTAGTGTTCTGTTCCTTACACAGAACATTGATTATCAGGCCACTTTTTATTCACTAACCTACTCGAAAAGAAAGACGAACCTGTAGTTAGAATCTACCGGAGATTATTAATGGATGTTGGAGTTCTACGAACAGCAATACCTTAGCAGATTATGTAAATTTTAAAGATTTTCTTTTCTTAATCCAATATCGTTTCAGGTGGAAGTAAATAAAATTAATTTTTTTTTTTTTATCTTCCTCCACTTTAATACAGAGCCAGTTATTCCGCTTTGAAGTCTTTACCCATTGTCGGACACTTTTCCCGCTTTTATTGCCTCCTTTCGCGCCTATAACCTCTTCTCGTTTCATTCTGTAGTTTCTTGTTTCTTTATCTGTAAATGTTCCTTTGTCTTATTGTATTCTTCCTCACTTTGTGTCTTTCTTTCTATCTTTCTCTATCGTTGACTTTTCTCTATCTAAAAGTGTGGTCTCTTTGATGCTGCCTACTTTCCATTTTCATGTCTTCTCTCTGTGATATTGTCTCCTGTCTTTTTTTTTTTTCTATCACTACTATCTCTCTCATCTTACGTTGTTGTTGTTGGCTTCAATGTTTCATCGTCTACTCCTCTCTCTTTCTCTGCCTGTTTTCTCTCTAATATTGTGTACTTTCTTATTGTTCCCCCTGTCTTTCCGTCTACCTTCCTCCCTCTCTGTTTTATTATCTCTCTGTTATTGTTCTCCCTCCCTCTGCTGCTTCTCTCTATCTTAAATACCATTGTATTTCTATTTTCTGTTGTTTTATGCTTCCCTTTTTCTTCTTTTCTTTTTATCGGCCTTTCTCTCTCTCTCCTCCTATTGTGTTATATCTATGTTACCGCCCCTTCTCTCTGTATCGCATTGTCTACACTCTCCGTCAAATGAGCTGTCCTCTTTCTGGTTTCACTAATATCGTCTACTCTTTTATTATTTCCTCTCTTTCTTCGTCCACTCTCTCTCCGTTTTTTCTCTTTGTTGGCTGCTCCTCTCTCTTATTAACCATACTCTCTCAATATAGATTTCTGTCTTCTGTAGTCTCTTTTTCTTCCTCATTCTAACTCTCTCTTGTTAGTTCTATGTTTTTGTCACGCCTCTCTTTCTATCTTATTTTTAACCTTATTGTATCTCCTCTCTTTCTATTTCTCTCTCTCTCTCTCTCTCAAACTCTCTCAGTTTATCTTAATGTATTCTCTCTCTGTTAGCATCTCTTCTCTTTTTATCGTTGCTGCCTCCTTTTTGTCTTATTGTCATTTCTTTAATATTGTCTACTCTCTTATTCCCCATCTGCTTCTCGCTTGCTTGCCCCTCTCTCTTCCTCGCCCTCTCTGTCTTGTACACTCTCTTTATCTCACTTCATTTTTTCTCTATTTTTGTTGTTTGTTTCTATCTCTCTTATTAGCCACTCCCTCACTCCCTCACTCTCTCTCTCTCTCTCTCAAACTCTATCTCTGTCTTCTGCAGTTTCTTTTTCTTTTTCACTCTCTTATTGTTTCCTTGTTTTTAACGCGACTCTCTTTCTATCTTTATTGACATTATTGTCTCTCTCTCTTTCTCTCTGTTACTATCTCCTCTCTTTGTATCTTTGTTACCACCTCTCTGTCTTATCATTTCTCTAATATCGTCTGCTCTCTTCTTATTTTTTCTCTCTCTACTTTCCCCTCTTTGTAGCTTTCTTATCTCCCTTCCCCCTCTCTCTGCCCTCTGTATTCTCTATAACTTAATTTACTCTAATGTTGACTTCTCTCTACTTTTCTGTCATCCTTTCTCTTTCTATGTCTCACTCTCTTTCTCTCTCACCTCTTACCTTCTCTCGAGCTTACTGTCTCTCTCTATCTTATTGACACCTCTCTCTATTATTGTCATTTCTCAATGTTATTGTCTGCCTCCCCCTCTCTCTCTCTTTCCGTCCTATTGTCTCCTTTCTCAGTTATTTGCTTTCTTATTGTCTCATTTTTAACGTCATTGTTTCCCCTCTTTCTTCCGTCTTTCTGGCTGTTTTTCAAGTTCATATGGCAGCTGAACCGACAGAATGATTTGCTAAGTCAGCTGATTTGAACGGCGTCCTAAGGCAATAAATGACATCAAGTTGACTTCAAAGGTCAGTATCGTTCTACTGGCTTCTGAGTTTTACTTTGTTGCTATTTGTTTTAGATGGAAATATGGCTTTAGCAGATTCATTGCTTCACTTACTAAAGTGAATAGATTCATAACAAATCAAATTTTCTAGCCGAGGCTCATTTTAATACCAACCAATTGTATACAGAATTGTTTGCGCCTTTTGTAGCACTCTGGTTTGATGAAAGTTTGTCAATTATTCGAACTGGCTTAAAGCCATTGGGACAGGAGATTTGTATCAACAAGAACTGGACCAAGAAGAAAAGAAAAAACAGTTCTGTTCAATCCAACAACTATCATTCTTGGTTTTTCGTCTTGCAATTTCTCTCTTCAAATTTTGTACACGCAGAGCGTTTTATATACTCTTTTTTTACTAATGATAACCCAATACAAGGCCCAAGAGCCATTCAAGGTAGAGGGTTATTGTGTGGAGCTTATATTAGCGTGGAAAAGAACAAGTGTTAGAGGTATAGGGTTGAATTAGACTTTGATGAATGAACTGGAGACGCAATCCTAAACAGGAAAAAGGGATAAACTTCTGCTGCTTTTTCAAAAGACGTGGAAGGAGTGTGAACCGGACGATAGGCGAACCTATCTACTCTTATTAATATATAAATGCTTACAGCACCTGGGATGTTCAACCGGTCACCCATCTAAGTACTGACCAGGCACGATCTTGCTTAACTTCGGTGATCGAACGCAAACCGGTGTTTTCAGTATTATATAGCCGTAATGCTCGACCCTGTTTCTTGGTGGAGATGAGACTATATCGTGAATTATACATACTAGTTAAATACCCATCCTTCGATCAGAGAAAAAGTAAGTTGGCATAGAAATTATTTTATATCTTGTAGTATCGTATGCAAATTAGATAGACAAGTATAAATAGAGAACAACTGGCGAACATGGGTGGCTATACCTAGCAAAGCCGGTTGCTATTCAGGACACGGAGAACTCTACTACGTTACTACTACTACTACTACACGGAGAGGCATGCAAAACATAACGTATCTTCAAAATGTCTGTATAAACATTTTCAGCAAAACACCTAAAGTGCAAAGTTCACTTGAATTTACTAATTTGAACAGAATTTCATAGTCTCTATGAGAAGAATCTGAATTATTGCGGATCTTAATTTCCCACCCCACCCCCACAAATATTAATTCACTCCAAAATAAAATGAATTTATATTTACTAAAATTCACACCAATTTCTCTCAGAGCGAGCCCCTTCAACTGCACTCCAGTTGGGTTGACCTTTGCGATTGCTCAAAATGGGGGCGATACGGAAGTGCTATTTCTAAGTGTGGGATCTACGTTCGCGCCTGCCTCTATAAACAAGCCAAAAACAGATCTTATTCTTTTTTTTTTTTAAACTGTAAAAAAGTCCCTTGTAAGCAACTACACTATCATCTGCACTTACGAAATGTGAGTAAGTCCATGATTTTTGGTAATTTTTCATTATGAGGGTTGGAGGATTGGCGAGTCAAGCTAAACAATTTAAAATTTATAATTTCAAGAGTACCAAAAATTTAATAAAAAACAAAATTTTATTTTAAATTTATAATTTCTTGGGGCAAATTAATATTTGCGATAAATAACTTTATATTATTTAGGATGACTTAACAGAAAAGATCCATAATTTCCTAATGCTTCTAGTAATAAAACTAATAATAATTAATTAATTCAGTTAAAAGACTTTTTTTTTTCGCATGTTTAACCCTGAGTCAGTCTCCTCGGATTTCCGAAAATGAATAGTCCTCCGGTGTGTTTACACACTCCCAATATAAAAATGCTTATACTGTTACAATTATGTAAAATATTGTTGTACTGCTGAAAAAATAACATAACAAGCAATTTCCGTTACAAAATACACTAAATCAAAACTTGAACTGAAGATATAATTATTTATTGAAATTAAAATCATAAATTTGTTTTGCATAAACGTATGTTGTAAAGTGTAAATTGTAGGCGAAACATATTAAACAATAAAAGATAAATAAAAAATAACCTCAATTGTAAACAATATTATCAGTGAATGAAGCAAATTGGATGAAAAGGATTATAAAGACAAGGATTATAAAAACAAACACGTCAGCATAGAGATAGTGAATCTCTTTGAAAATTACTTCATTTACGAAAATATCCACTTCCCTAAAATAAATAATGAAATATGTTAAATTTATAAAGTCTTTTCTAATTATTCCTCATTTAACCATTTTGTCTAATTTAAACTTCAATTTTGTTATAGCGGAACACACCTATTCTATAGTTAATAGACTCTCCCACCTATAATAAGTAAGAGTCACTGGGTCGCTCTGTGGTTCGGTCATTCAGCCGACTGGCTGATCGGTTGAACTCTCTCTCTCTCCCTCCCCGGGCGGGGAGGAACCCACGCCGAAGGGCGGATTCTCTTTCGGGGAGGTAAACCGACCCTGAACCCGTTTATACGGGTTCAATGGGCTTATTTTTGGCCGAGCCCACGTGATCGGAGATCCCACGTTAAAAAGGCCTTGTGCCACATGACGCCCTCGTTGGGGAGGGGTGACTGAATATCGTCGGTCAGTCAGTCAGTCGACTGGCTGATCGGTTGAACTCTCTGCTTTCGGGCAGGGAGGAACCCGAAAGAGGCTACGCCGAAGGGCGGATTCTCTTTTCGGGGAGGTAAACAGGCCCTGAACCCGTTTATACGGGTTCAATGGGCATATTTTTGGGCCGAGACCACGGGCTCGGAGATCCCACATTAAATAACCGGCCTTGTGCCACATGCTGCCCCAGTGGGGGGGGGGGGTGACTGAATATCGTCGGTCAGTCAGTCGATGCCGGACGACCGTTAGTCGGATACTAAAATATCGGCGACCACAACTAGATTTCTCTGCGTCATTACCTACTATCTCAAGTTCCTAACGTTTTGTACGTCGAACCTATTTTAGGACCGACTTAGTACAAATACAAGACTCCACTGTAAAACCATTCCACAACAAATTCATACACACGTAATATGTTTAGGCAGCAGTGAGACATATTTTATTAAACAGAAAAGAAGATGTCTGTCTGTTGCTCCTTCGTGTGAGTGCCTTCTTCTATCGAATAGGTCAATTAATATCAGATGGAAACTAGCAAAGGAACCTGTCGACATTATGTGTTACTATGTTGGATACTTTCAACCCTCTTTTGTCGTTTTCCAAGAAAGATGACTGAAAATCGAGGAATAACCAGTATGGAGTTTCTATTGCTATCAGTTCCAATGAGTGTTGATTCACGGGCTATGACTATGAAATAGAAATTAACCATACGTAGCAAAAGGTACTTTACTGTTTCAAGGCCTTTTAACACCTGAGCATCTGTGCTGAAACACACTTTATTGATAATGAGTTACTTTCTTTTAATGTAACGGCCCGCCATGATTTATAATCGTTTTCTACTGGTTAAGTGGTAGACGATTTTAGGCTTCACTGTGATGAAAGTAAAGACCGAAGAAAACAGGAAGTTTTAAATCAGAAGAAAGTATAGTGAGATAGAAAACGAGTTGATATAAATTAGGAAGTTACTATTTCAGCGCCCCACCCGAGAGGGAAAAGACAGGGAGTCTCTCGTACCCACAGGAGAAAAAGAATCCACCAAAGTCACATACCCACTCGATATTAATCGACGAAGTCTGCGGTGAATAAATATTTTTTACGTATGAGAGATTTAGGCACATATTCTTTTATTAAGCTGAACACCGGTAACATTACACTGAATTCGATTCTCACTAGATGCCCACTTCTTGAAGCCTTTTTCCAAACTAAGTTAATTTTAGCAAATAATAATCGCTACCTCCTCATTCATTCTTTGTGCTTGAAAAATGCTGGTTGCTTCCGCGAGAAAAACTCCTTATCACTCGAAAAAGTAAACTATAACAGTTTTAGTCGTTAGAATGCTGTAAGGAGTTTTTATTTTCAGCCCAAGAATACGCGGCATTTAAATTCGAAACTCACAGACAAAACTCACAGAGAAAATGATAAAAATTGGTGATTCCATTTTTTATTCGCTGTAATCTTAAATTTGTGGTCACATCAGTCCTCTTTATTAGTTCTACGTTGCCTGTACCACTAAGATGAATTGCTTTCCCTAAATATACGTCTTGTGATTTTACAGAAATACAAAACGCCTGTAGTTCCAGATTACTTGAATGACCTAATCAATATTCAACCAAGTGCTATTGTGGTTGTTGTTGTGGTTGTTTTAGTAAAAACAGACAAGAATTTGACCCACGGATATTGGGGCGACGAGGGTGACTGTGTAAATTTTGATTAGAAAAATTTGTTTGGCTTTGCGGACATGTCTTTCAACAGTATTAGCTGTTATAGCCGCCTGCGAGAACGACTCTTCTCTATTTAGAGATGCGTTTCGTCAACCCAAATAAGTGGATATTACGTTGCTTTCAACAAAGTAACAACAGTTCCGGGCATGCGCAAAAATGTTAAACTTCCTTTAGAAAATAAAATATAATTTTTTTTTTTTTTTTTTTTTTCGGGGGTTTATACGTATGGATAAAACCATAATTTATGAATTGATTCTTTTTAGAATTGGAATGTGAATTTTGTTTTGACGGATTGCCTGTATTGGTTAACATGCATGGATTTTATGTTCACATTAAAAACAGGAAAACGAACACGTGTGCAAATATGAAAGACTACGTGAAAGTGGACTGAAATAATAAACTAAACAAAAGAAAATATTACAGTCCCCCCCACACACGCATAATATATATATATGAAAAGTGTGTGTATATAAATATATATATATGTGTGTAATATATATATTATTATTTATATATTATATGCGCGGAACAAACTTACATCAATCCAGCTATATATATATATATATATATATATATATATATCCCGTAAAATGAGAACAAATGGAGTATAATTCCGCTGTACGTAACATTTAATTTAAAAGACGGCTCATTAGAGGGTAGAGCTAAATATTATTTATTTTAGGATATTAAAACATGTTAAAAATCGCTACATAATGACAATTATCCTTCAACACTACAAATATGTCTCCTCGGGCAATGTTAAAATACTGCCGATTGAAAGATAAATTTAATTTCAAAACCAGAATACTTTAAAAAATTGGCTTGTGCGCTTTGCTGTGATTAACCAATCGAATGTGACCTACACTAATTTCAAATTCACTGGAAAAAAAATAAATTAATATAGGTCATGACACGAAGTTGTCTGCATATAAATCCTAGTTAGCATTATGTTAAATTACCTCTTTCGTTTTTACTTCTTGGGAAAATTGAACGTCGGACTTCGATACATCTTACGAAATAATGTAACAACTTTCATCTGCCCATAAGGAAATTGTCCAGGATTTATATAGAAGGAAAACTTAGCTGACGCATTTCATCCTCTGACGGATTTTATCAAGACAAATGTGGGGATTTTATTTTGGAACAAGTATTTATAAACAAAAGGAAAAATATTGCTAGTTTTTCATAATTTTTAAGTTTAAGAGACGCTTACAAATAGTCATCAGGTGAACTGAAAAGTCTAGGTATATTATAGAGGATTTTAAGTGGTGTAATTTAATTCCAATAAAAGAAAGTGAGAAAATGTTATGTTTTTAACATTTAAATTATTTTAGTATGGGGTATATTCATTTATTATATATTTTTAAACAGCAGGAGGTTATGAATTTAACCGTTTTCTTTGAATTTTTGAACATTTTTATAGTTAT